ACAGTAAGAAGAAAGTTGGAAAACAGTGGGGTTAGATCGCTATCCAACTAGGTTTAAATTCCAAGGAGAAAATTCAACACATGACCAGGGATATCTGTGGGAATACTTAAGACAATGCTTTAAGCAACTTTGTTGAAGAGGAAAATAATCCCAAAGAGAAACTGTTTACAGGCTTTTAAGAATGCAGGGGTCAATACTTTAAAGGGCTGATTAAACCAAAGATTTCTGGATGTAAAGTAAGTGGGAATGTGGAGGTACCCACTGTGCCAAATAATCATCTTTTTAGGAATCAAGAAGAAGCCATTAGTTTTGAGAGGAGGAATTGTTCACAAGACAGGCTAGAGACTGTGGCAAAGATCCTTACTTTCTGGTAGACAGAGGCTTACTCCCTCCATCCCAAACCGGGAAGTACATAAACCAGACCTTTCATTGCAAATCTCTACATAGTTCTCAAAAGGCCACAAAATTAAATACGCATCAACTGCATATATCTCAAATTTTGTGAAGGTGAGCGCGTTCTAAAATACAGGTCCTTTAAATATACCAGGTTTGCACAACTACTTGAGACATACTATCACTCACTGAAAGAATGGGGAGAAATTAGTATAATTCTTCCTCCAAAAGCTTCTTGGAATATCAATGGTTGGAACAGTCATTTTTGTACTAGTTCCAGGGGGAAATGCCCAATTCAAAAGCATAGCACTGGTGGAGAAGAACAGCTATTCTGGGGAGAACCAGAATCAGCAGAGAACTTGAGAGGAAAGTTGTGAATATTCCAACTGGCAGGGAGCGCTCATGAAAAACTCGACTGTGTTAAAACTGTTTGACAAACAGGTAACAAGGACACAAAGCCTGGTCATAATGAAGACTGGCAGCACAATAAAGAATTAGGACATAGCTGTTTCTGTGTAGTTTCCTAGCATGACTACTAATTAGGAAAAAAACACCAACCCCAAAATAAAACCTCTGTGCATAGGCCTGTAACTATGCATAGCTATACTGCTGCCAAAACACCCAATACTTCCATGCTTCCTCAAGTACTCTGCTATTTTTAATAAGGAAAAGGGACACAATGCTCACAGATCATAGTATTTTCAGCTTGAAGGCTCCCAGTAATTTTCATTTTTTGGTCAGCCAGCTTTGACAGAATCCCAAAATTTCTTGATCACATTCCTCTAAAAAAAAAAAAAGACAAACCCCCTTTTTTTCTGAGGAAAAAAAAATAAATCAACTTTTGCAGATCCATGAGAGCATATGGTGCCATAGCTAGTGCAAAAATCTGCAGACATCTAGATAAATTTCAAACAGTGGTTATTCTATCCCGCTCAGAATATTTCTACTCATCATAATTCATGAATGTTAGTGAGGCCTCAATTACTGCACATAAATTCCAAAATATATGGGGCATAAAAAGCTCTTTAACCCAACAAAAAGGCATAACAAGAACTGATGGCTGAAAATTAAAGCTAGACAAATTCAAAATCAGACAGGAGATTTTTTTCTTTTTTTTAATAGCAAAGGTAATTGAACAAGGAACTTGCTAACAAGGGAAGTGATGGATTTTTTATGATTATTTTTTTTTTAAATAATTTGAAATCTTCAAATCAAGACCTAACCATCTTTCTAGGACTTATACTGCAAGGAAATAAAAGCCCTTGGGCTCTGTAGGGGAATGATGACAAGAAAGTATCTTTGGGTTTTTATTTTTGTGGGGTTTGTTGGTTTTTTTTTTTAATATAAAAAGTCACATCAGGCGACCTAATAGTTCCTTAACACTTAAAAAGACCACAACCTATATAGCCACAAAAGCAGGTTAGACTATTGAAAATATACTACTTGAGCAGTCATAGTTTGCATCAAAAACTGTGACTATGTAACTAAGTGGACATACATCCTAAAGTGAACCGGAAATAATATAATGCTAAAAAGGCATATTTTCTGAGAGCTAATGAGAGTGTTACGTCAGATTATCGCGAATGAGTGGTTAGGGAATGCACCACCACACAGATTAATTAAAAATTGCCTTGCTATGAAAAACGATAGAAAAAAAAAAAAAATCTGTAAAAGAATGCATAGTTACTAACCGAGCTTCCCTTTTAGCTTTGATTTGCTAAAATCTAAGTAACTTTCATTATTCATAGAGAAAGACTCAGAGCTGAGAAATGCCATATGTATGGTATGCATGCTTACATGCAAGTATTTACCACCAGAAACCTGGAAGTACATAAACCAGGACTTGCATTGCAAATCTCAACATAGTTCTCAAAAGGCCATGAAATAAAACACGGACCAACTGCACACATCTTTTCTTTCCAGCCCTCCTGATAACGAGAGAGACCAGATCTCAGCTCTGTATTATAAACTATGGATTGCACTGCCTTGCAAGAGTAAACCAGGACTCCGCTGCAATAATCTGAAGTAGCACACAGCAACCTCAGAACTTCTCCCCATATAACCCAAAGAAGAAGAAAGTCACTGTCAGTAGCACGTACCAGTTCTGCCAATGAAAGCTGGGACTTAGAAAGAAAGCAAACAAAGGACATTGCTGGCAGAAACATGCCTAACCAGTGGCATTAATGGAATTATTGACAAAAACGCCAGTGCAGGTTTTTTTGCCGAGCCAAAGTCAAGCATTTTTAATATTGATCAACAGAAAGCAAAACTTGTTTTATAAACAAGTTGTTTCATAAACACTCCCAAGATTTATACTGAAAAGATTCAAGCTTTAAAAATCAACATCAGCTTTTCCAAAAGAGATTAAAATTCTTTAAGAGGAAAAAGAAATCAAACATACCACATGAGACATAAGTTACTAAATCAAGCCAATAACCAGAAAAATGTTGCAGTAAGAAAGACAGAATGTTCAACTAACCATTTGATGGGCGATTTGTGAGATTTTGTGCATTATGACTTGTGGGAGATGAAAATGGACTCATTTGGCATGTTCCTGTTGTCGGCGAGTAAGACTTTAGATTTTTCTTTTTGGCCTTCGAAGGCGTCACATCAGATGGCTAAAATGTAGCAAAAGACAAAGAATCCAGATGAATATTGGCTAAAGCTAAAGAAGTACCTATGTCCATCTAAACCTACAACAGTTGTAAACTTCCATTCTGCAAACTAAATACATTCTGGCCTCTACCTTTCCTATCAGTAGAGTTACATACTGTACCCCAAACCAGACAAAGCCTCTCTCAACATTTACTATCTGGTAATAGATTTTTCTAAATTTCTAATATTCCTAAATTTAAGTCCTCCCATTTATGGAAAGCCCATGTTATATGTTGTGGTGGGTTAATCTTTGCTGGCTGCCAGGTGCCCACCAAGCCACTCTATTGCACCCTCTCCTCATTAACATTAGTTTTACTCAAAAAAATAAAAAGCCCTTCAACACTAGCCTCCCAGTTTTTATAAACAAAAAGTATGTGATTTCCAGAGATTTAGGTATTCTGGCATGAACACCTGGGGGTGGGGTTTTTTTATTTGGTGAGGTTTTTTTGTCTGTTTGTTTGTTTTTTAAAGCAATCAAATCCTGGTATTATTTTTCCTATAGTACTGAGAATTTAAGACACATACAAGCAACTATTTTTAGATTTTAATTCTATCAAAAGACAGTTATTTCTAATGGTTTTCTAAACAAGTGTTAATTAAAAAACCAGTCCCTTAAATCTAAAATTTTGTCTCTGGCTTAGGATTTCAATGTTTGATGATATACAAGGAGTTATTTAATGATGTTAAAGGAATTGTGCAGGGAAGTTTTCAGAAAAACTAGTCTGTAATTCTGAAAAATTAACTGGGATTATCTGGGACACAGTTCACTCTCTAGATTGGATGTTGAATTGCAGCTCCGAGAAACTGGGATTTCACTGCACTACTAATATACAGAAGAAAGAAAAACAAACCAAAACCACACTTTGTTTGCACATAAAGGGCTTCAGCTCTAGTAACAACCTGATTCCAACTAAGAAGTCTATAGCAGCTTTAAATAACACCATCAATGACTGTCAAAAAGGAGCCATACACAGAAATAAACACATGTAACACATAAAGGAGACTCCACTGGCATCAGCAGCATCTTAATGTCATCTTATACTCTTAGAAACCACTGATCAAGTGGCTACAGGATTTTCCAGGTAGTAGAATTTGAAGTATTAGCCAATATGCATACTACCAGACCTACAGTACTTCACTGTTATGCAACCAGCTGATCCAATAATTAAACAAAAGAGCTGGAAGGCACAGAATATAGCAAGCTGGAAAACACAGCTTCAGAATGACAGCTCTCCCATTCTTGCCTACCTTTAAGGAGATAAAGTCAGCAGGCATGTAAACTACTGCTTCCAAACAAGACTAGCCACCTCTAAGAAGGGGAACGCAAGTACTGCACAACTTATTTCATGGTATTAACATCTGTCATGCAAAGAATAAAGGGATATTTTGGGCAAAATCACTTTTTCCAGTCCGTTTCAAAAATTTTCTCAAGGGTTTAAAGAAGGGCTGTCCAAATGCAGGGAAACAGTTAGTTTTTCCTATGGTTTAGTGAGATTCTTTTTTCTCTTGGAAACATAGTATCAACAAAGCAAATCCCACCAAAAAAAACCCCCAACAGATTAAGAGATTTCTTCATTTTTTAATTTGTTACAAACCTGGGCTTTGAGTTTGAGGAATCTCCTGCGCGCTCTGGGAAAAGGGTCTACTGGGGACACAGTTGAGATCTAAGGCAGTCTGAGTCCGGAGCATGGTACAGCACCGAGAGGCAACTCTGGGGAGCCCTGAACCTCATAGGTTTAAGGTCTCACAAATATCCCCTGGAAAAATCTAACTACAGCAATTTTAGATCTCAGAAGGGGTGCATAGGTGGCAAAAGCAGTATTTTTAAAGCCAATAATAAGGTTCACCAGGTAAAGTGTGAAAGGCACGAGTCATATCAGGAAGTAAGTCTTAGCAGATCACAAAGCTACATATACAAAGGAGACTTAAAGCCTCTACGATGCAGCAGGAAACCAGGACCTGGGAAAAGGCTACATTTCATTACTGAGTAAATTAATGATAGAAAACATTAACTTTTATAGAATTACTCTTAAATTGTTGAGGTTTCTAAGAAGTATACATTTACAGAGGCAATAAATATAAAACTAGGAATACAACCTGTACCTAGAAGTATAATGGACAATTAGGTAACCTCCAGAAGTTCTCTTCTCAATTCCAGACAGTTAGCAGTTGATTTAAATGTCCTGAAGCACAATACTCCTATTTTTCACCCCTACATGGATATGCACACTCTTGTTATCTGTATGAATGAGTGTTTTTATTACAGCTTCTACTACTTTCTTGACTTCAGCAAAATTTCAGGATGAGTTCTAGAAGTTAACATGTCATATAATAGATGATTCTCCATTTTGGCTTTCAGTCTTCCACACTGCAATATTACTGAATTCCTCTTGATTACATAAAAGTATAAAGAATGTTCAATATCCCCTCTAAAAAGAATACAGCATATTCTTATACCCCTTTCCTGCTCTTCACTACTGAACTCCTATTAAAACATCCTGATCTTTTAATCTCTTTCATTTGAAGGCATTTCTTGTGCCACTTGTACCACAGCCTATGTTCACATTCATTTTCTTCTACAGAATGATAGAGGTTTAAAGTATAATTTCTGCAATTATACTTTAAAAGAGAGTGACTATACCTTCAATTCTAATTCAGGTGAAGAAAAAAATACTGATTTACGCAATGGAATTATACTTCCAGTGCTGCTTGCTATTCTATTTCTGATACATCTTACTGCACTTTTACAAAAAGCTGCAGTTTTGATGTTTTTCTTCTCCTACTCTGCCTTGAATGGTTACCCTTAATTTAGAACGTAACAGTGTTAGTATTGGTCATCAGTAATATGACTTACACTGTATTTCAGAAGATTTAATTTGCTGCCCATTTACCTAGCTTTCTTACAGCTCCTGGATATTGCTCTGTCTTGTTTTAGTCTTGAATACCCTAAATAATTACGCATCAGCCCTTTATAGTCTTTCTGCAGTATATCAGTATTTAAACAATACCTGATGGAAAATTTCAATCTGGTATCACCAATATTTTACCACATTCAAGCAGGTTAAAGACATGTTTCAAATCATCTTTAAATGAAATATTAATTACAGTAAAGTATCAATGCCACTTTAGGCATTTAAATGTCATCAAATCTCTTTTGTAACAGGGAGACTCTCCAATCTGCTTACACTTTCAGGATATTTTTCCTGCTTGAACAGCAGTCACTTCAGTCACCATATTTCTGGACATAAACTAAGAGTCCTTTGAGCAGCTGCCTGGAAAAAGTTACTGTAGTACTTCGAAGAACAATATTTATTTGGCAGTAAGAATTTCTCTTCCAGGAAGAAGAGTCTTTGTCCAGTTATGCAATTTTTTTAATGGTACCATACTAACATCATAAAATCTAAAAATACTCATTTCTGAGCTGGTCAGCTCAGGTATGCTTTGGGTAGTCTGACCAGCAGGTGGAATGAGGGCCTCCTGAAGAACAGGAAAGAAATCGTAGCAACAGCAATGGATGTTGCAGAGCTGAAACAGATACTCCACACAAATCATGTGTGTTTATTACCTTACATTCCTTCCTACCTTCTATAACATTATTTAATTATGGTACACTTTAAATCTTTGACATGTATCTGTTAGAGACATCACATGAACTAAAAATCATAGTGCAAACCTACATTACCGAGATTCCAGTAAAAGTTTTTCTCATTCAGACAGGCTTTTGTTAAGCTTTTTGCTGCACAAGAACCTGAATGCAGGTAACCATCAGGTAACTTTCTTTTTAACTTATGGGGAGGGGGCATGGAAGGAAGAGCTTTAAAGCAGAATAAGAATTCCATGTAATTTCAGCTGGACCACTCATCTACAAAAATGTTACTACAGCCCAAGAAACAGATGCAAAATTACAGTCACAGCTGCATTCTGAGCAGAACAAGTTGGGTAATGGTACACTAAGCTGCTAATTAAATTGCTAATGATTTTTTTTAGTGGCACTGCGGTATTTTGCCACCTTTGTTTAAACAGAAAAAACCCAGTATCTAGAAAATTTTTAAAATTGCAAATTTCTATCTTGCTAAATACCAGTGAGACCTCCAAATACGTGCTGTGTATAAACAAATCTCTTCAAAATGACAGAGATGTGGAGATTTACTGGGAACTCATTTGCTGACCAGCTATTCCTCTCTACATACTTTTCCAAAATGTTCCTTCCTTTAAACACTGCCATCCTCACAAGCTCCTCGGTATTGATGTCTGCAGCAACAGCCACTGCTGGTAGGAGCAGATAATAAACCGACATATGTCATGACATGCTGGTACTGGGAGTATACTATAGCTGCATTTACAAAAAATAATAGCAACAGTACAATTTTATTTTTATTGTGATAACTGTGGTGAAATTTATTGCAGTGTTAGTACTTTATTGTTTCATTATGCCAGATTAGCTGAGGGAGGTAATTATATCCTTGACATGAAAATGCCTTTAATGTTTTCATTTCAATTTTGCAGTTTATAATATGCAGATTACAGCATTATCATAATTCCATATTGTTACATGTACAATTACATGGCAGAACATTTGCTTCCAGGATAATGGAGCTAATTTCTAATAAATTATTTCACCAAGGATCTTAACTCATTCAGCTCTTGGGTAAATAGTGATGGCAGTAAAAATATGCATATTTCTCCGTTATTTTCAAGTGATTCATGCAGATGTACATTACTTAAAGCCAAGCAGTTCTATGACAAATGGAATACAATAAATTTTATACTAATATTTTCAGCAGTAATTTTGTGCCTTATTAAGGTTTTTCTAGACAACATCCAGCCTGTAACAATATAAATGCAGCTCTAATGAAATATCATGTTTATATACACATATATGTCTATATAGGCCCAGATGATTCCATACACCGAAAAATACTTACATTATCTTTTTTAACAGTGTCCAACTTCAATGCTCTCTTAACTCTGCAATAGAAAAATATGGACAAGTTTTATGGTCACCTAGACACAAAGATTTCTGGTAATAAGGTCTATAATCAGTAATTTTAAAGACATTTTCCTTTCCCATGTTTCACATTTTTTCGTACTACACAAGAAAACTAATGTCAAGCAAATCAAATACATTAACTGATTAAAATACCGTGTACCAAAATCGTTTCTTGTTTAAAAGGATAAAGTGTTTGCATAAGAAAATCCAATTCAATTTTATACTAGAGATAAAAATCAAGACACTGAAGTGAAATCGCACTGTATATTTGTCTCTTTCTCAAAGGCTATAAACGATGAAAAAATGCAAAAGCATTATCATTTACATACCTTTGGAGCAAGGGTTGAAATTATTTTGCCATTAGTAGAAATAATGTATGAGACATTTAAAACACAGGTACAGCCAAGGTGAAAAAAGTAGTTCTTCCCATCATTTTAGCTCTTAACATGATTCAGTGCTACCAGACTATGACTTAACTGGGGAACAGATGCTCTATGTCTTTACAGGTCCCCAAACCATAAGAAACTATTTGCTAGTCTTCTTCACTATACTGATTCAGGAACATGCCAAGCTCTCTCTGCAAAATCTGCTCTGCTGAACTGGATGCCCAGCTGTTAATGGCAACACTAGAAGAGGAAAGCTGAATATTTATAATACTTTATATCGTACAGCTGTCTTCTAAAGAGCAGTCATCAAAATTTTATTGAATGCAGACTAAATGCTCAAAGGAAAGAAAGGTCAACATAAATTAAGACTATTTTTCCCAGAGACAACTGAAACTTTTTAAGCACATTCCTAAATCTTAACAATAGTTTAAAGCATGATATAAAACAATGAGGAAAAAAATTTTAAATCTTTATAAGAACAGTCCCCAAGAAACATATATATTATATCAAATTAAACAAGATTTAGAAAATACATCATATTTCAAGAACTTAGTTCGCAGTTTTCTTCTTGGAAAAGAATGTTTTGACTTGTAAGGAATTAAGATGACATCATTCCAAACATAGCCTTTTTAAATTTATGTAACTATTCCAAAATTGTAAATTACAGTATTGGAAAAATGGAGTGAAAACACACTTTTGAAATGTAACTCGGGTAATGGTCTTATATGAATACTGTTTTACAACTATCTCTATTACAAAAAGGGGAAGACAAGTATTCTATCTTAAAAAAGCCAAGTAAACAGGTAACATTTAAATTAAAAAAGCGTGTGAAATTCTTGCCAAAGGGCAGTCAAAGCTGTAACAGTTTGATGGAATTCTTTACAATGTATTTCTTTTTAAAATAGAAACCTATATTGCTTAAGGAATGGAGACTCCATTACATCTTCCACCCCAGTGGCAGCAGAGAAACATTATATTTATTAATACCTCTACTCTGAAAGGATGCTCTAGGGGCCAATGCATTTGCATGTTATACTAAGGCATGTTATGATGGAAGTTTTTATGATGGACTTCAAAAGAAGCTGGAAGCCAAAGTAAAGCAGAATCTGGACTCAACATAGCTGTAGGACAAAGATAAATGAGAAACTACATGAAAATCCCACTAAATTACAAACATTTAGAAAATTTCTTAGGGAGAAAGTTGTGGACTGATCAAGGCTATGTTCTTTAGAGTCTGTCAAATACTGTGTACAGCAATAGAGTTGCAGACAGCCCAAATTTCTCTCTGCTGGCCTGCAAAACCCCTGCAAACACCCTGAGCTATGGTGGTGAAGAGGCAGCCTCATGCCAGGCAAGCACTTCAATGTTGGAAGGAGATGGAATATCATATTGAAGGTACAATTTTGGCTCCAGGAGGTCAACTTTGCCTCGCTTTTCCCAATTCATCCTACCCAGCAGCCTGGTTTGCTTGTGGGCTTGTTTTTAATGATTGTCTTTCTGATGCCATAATGTGAGAAGGTAAATCTCTGGGCAACTGTGAATCATTCAATATAAGGTAAAATCTGTGCTCTTAGTCTACATGCAGTCCCTGGCGAGGACCACTGAAACAAAATTCATCCAGACATCTAACATGATGACCCGGTTCGCCAAAGTGTCTTCTCTCAGACCTTTCAAAAGATAAACATGTAGAAAAAACAATACGTGCATCTAGGTGCAAACAAAATTCCTAAAGTATTTTAGGAAACACCATGGAGGAAGAGCACCAGCTTTAGTTTGGTTTACCTTTTTTATATGGCTGGAAAAGCCTTGCTTTGCCTATGGTGTACAATCAAACATCAGAGTGTGAACAAGAAAAGGAGATAGAAAAATGAGGCATATGCGATGACAGTACACAACAGCTTATTCACCTGAGTTTCCTATCCTTGAATTGTTAGCCTGACAAGGCTTAATTTATTTTCTTAACTATGCAGAGTATAATGGCACATATTTACAGCTAGCTGCAATGATTATTTTGCCCACAATATTTATCAGGTTAAAAATCTACATATTACTTCTAAAGCTTATTGTTCATCTATCATCCCAGGTCGTATCGTCAGTTCCTTGCTAGTAGTGGGAGACTTTTACTCACTTGAATAGTGCTTTGATAAAACCACTTATATGAGGAACTGCTTAACAGTGAGAGTCTAAGTATGCCATTTAAATTTCTACAAAGAAACAAATTTTTTAATCTGTTTTTAATTCCACATACACTTAACTTTCTCTCCTTCACAATTCATTTATGAATGAATGCAATGGTAACAGTCACATATAGATTTAATGCACAAAAAACAACACAGAGAATCAAGGACTTGATTATATTATTTCATTAAAAATACCCTACAGAGTATTGTAGTGCATTTCAAGGCCATTTCAGATAGCCTCCTTTTAAGTTTCTACTTTTACTGGGACAAAAAGAAAAGACCTCTATGCTATTTATATATTGCTGCATCTTCAAAACCTGCCAGCAAAAATGCCTTATTAATTGGAAAAGCAGAAAGAATACATGACCATTTTCTATGTTCAGCTTAAATAGTAGTTAAACTCAGTGTGCAAGCAGTGAGAAAAAGATTTAGAAACACCAAAAAAATCAAAGCTTGTGTATTGATTAATACAAAGTTTGTATTAATACTGTCTGGAGTGACTACTTCAACTTCCAGTGGTCAAGGCTGGCAGCAGTTGGAACCTATGTTAGCTCTAACATAAGCCATCTTTGAAATCACATGAGGAGCTGTAAACTGGGACAATATCCCAAGCCTATATACAGGTAGCATGAGTCTTATGGCCTCACCTTACCACTGTTGAAGTTAGCAACATTCTACGCACTTTCTTTACTGTTCTTCAGAAGCCCATGACTAGCAAAGATACACAAGAATAGTGTCAGATTTACATGACTATTGCTTGATAAATTGCAAAGAATAGGAGAAATATGAATGGGATTTATTCCCATTGGAGACAATATGAAGAGATACAGCCTGATGGACACGGTACATGTCATGCCCTTACCACTGCAGGCCTGCAATACCTTCCCACAGCAGCCTAAGGCGCGAAACCCAGGTGTCAAACTCGGCACAACCCACCCCCGACATGGCTCCTGCCCCTCTTCCACCCCCTACCACACCGCCCCACAGGCTTTATCCACGGGGCGTGCAGAAATAAACAAATTCCTCCTCAGCTGGGGCAGTTGGGAACAGACATGTAACATACAGAAAGTATTACCCATACCCAAACTCTGTGTGGATAAAGGCTCTGCCCCAAGAACCCACCATTTTAAAATACTTCCCGGTCCCATCCAACACCTGGAAGACAGAGCTAGAAACAAAACCCGCCCTTCCCCACGCAACGG